ATAAGTACTGTTTGTATACCAGGAGATGTGAGATGTAAATGTAGTGGGTCACTTTTCACCCTTGTAGCTATAAAATAAAAATTTTGTAGAGCAGAAATAGCTTGTACTACTGAATTAACAAAAGTTACACTAAAGTATCATTTTTTTTAAAAAAAACATACAGACTTAAGCTTGTTGCCGTTATCAGTCTGGATTTGAAAAGTGTACTGATTTGTGTGTGTGTCTGTGTGTCATACACACACATAAACACACACATATAAAACACACACCACAGACATCCACATGGCCTACGCAGACCTCTGTGTGCCACAGCTGCAGAAAGAACACTGTATCGTAGTTCATTCTGGCCTGGCTCTTTGTTCTCACTGTGGTGACTTTAGAAACGAGTGTCCCGTTTGAAATTAGATGGGCTGAGTTGGGGTTTTGCTGCTTGAACTCTGCACTGGGTCCTCCAATAAACCGATGTGAATGTAGCCCCCCCCCCCCCCCGCCCCGTGAAGAAGCAGCCACACCCCTATGGAATAGGAGGGAAAGTCTAGAACTATTTCAAGTTTTATCTTTTTTGTATATGAAAATAAAATGATGATGATAATAAAAGAAGCTGTTGTCTTCCTTCATCACAAGGCAGGGGGTGGGTCTCTCTTCATGGTCATCAGAGTCGTGTTCTCCCGGCCCGGGCACGTGCAGTTGTGGGTGGCCGGGTGCCGGGCTCGCACCTTCCCGTGGGGCTGCGTCCCTGCCCTGCCGCTGGCCAGCCTTGGAGACACCGTGGGCTTCTTGGCAGGGACCGTCCTGGGACCAGGGGCTTCCTGCAGGCCGGGGCTGCTTCCTGCATCTCCTCCCCGGGGCCAGCCATGCTGGGCTTGCACACAGCCCTGCCCGGCGTTACTGTAAGCGCAGCGGAGGAGCGGGAAGGTAGGTTGTGCGCAGGCCCGTTTGCGAAAGGGGCTCCAGGACCGGCCTCCCTGGCTGACCCACCCCGGCCCTGGCTCAGCCAGCCGGTTTCTGGGTGCCCAGTTTGCTCTCACTGGAGAAAGCGTGTTCCTGGCTAAATGGAACAACGGCCTTCTCTAACAGCCACCCGAAAACAGGGACGCACCGGCACTCGCTGCTGCCGCCTGCAGGAGAGGGTGTCTCTGGCCGGTGACCAGCGTCGCTTCCTCCCTCGGGGGAGGCGAATGCCTTCTATGCAGCCATTTTCCGAGGGTCTTTAATCCACCTCGGTTATGAGTGAGAGTGACCTCAGAACTGGAGAGCGCTTCGTGGGACGGGGCCTTTGTGGGGGGCCACTGTGCGACCTGAGGCCTCTCCAGCTCTTCTGGGTTTAGGAAGTTCTTACTGGTGTGTGCCCCCCTGAGCACAGGGACGAGAAGGCAAGAGGCTTATTTTCTTGTCTTTTTTTTTTTTTTTTTTTTTTTTTTAAAGTAGAACTGGGAGAGCCGCGGGGTTGGGCCTTAGGGGTCATCTGGTCACACTTCCCCTTCAGCAAATGAATTCTTGGGCTACAAGGAGAGAGACAGAGAGGTAGTTTATTTATGTATTTGAGAGGTAGAGTTACAGACAGAGGGAGACACAGAAAGAGGTCTTCCATCTGCTGGTTCTATCCCCAGTTGGCTGCAACAGCCGGAGCTGTGCCGATCTGAAGCTGGGAGCCAGGAGCTTCTTCCGGGTCTCCCACGTGGGTGCAGGGGCCCAAGGATTTGGGCCATCTTCTGCTTTCCCAGGCCACAGCAGAGAGCTGGGTGGGAAGAGGAGCAGCTGGGACTAGAACCAGTGCCCACATGGGATGCTGGCACCGCAGGTGAAGGATTAACCCGCTGCGCCACAGCGCTGGCCCCAGAGGGGTTTATAAAGTTTCAAATTGCCCCCACCCCTCAAGTGTCGAGCGCCCTGTGGGACAGGTTCCCCATGACAGTTTTGAAGCTGCTTCCGCCTTACAGGCAGGTGAGAGGCCGGGAGGGAGTCGGCAGCCCTTCTGAAGCTTGCGTCTGGGTGAGGAGCCGCCACCTACCTCTGCTCTAACACCTAGCAAAGTGGCCGGACGCGGGGCTTTGGGAAACACGTCGTAAGTTCTAGGAGTTCCACAGCTGCTGAGGTCTGCCGGTTCCTCCCAGACTCCCCCATCGGCAAGGGGGCACTCACTGGGCGGATCCTCGGCCAGGCACGCGGGCCTGGAGGGCGTCGCGGGCCCTTGCAACCTGTTGATCGGATTTCCCCCACTGGTGCTCGGCGCGAGACCGGACGCCCTGCTCACTCGCCCTCGTGGGGAGAAGGCTGTAGACCATGCGAGAGCCCTACCACAGCTTTGCAACCTGGAGAGGGTACCCGGACCCAAAATCCTGAGAGAGGACTCCCGGCTGACCTGGCTCAGCCAGAGCCCCAGGGGACGCTCGTGTCCCGCCACGCGCCCGCCGGCGAGGCCCTCCGGCTTGAGGCTGGCTAAGCAATGCCGCAGTCCGGCGGTTGTTGGGAATGGCCCGCTGAGTCGCCCCTCGGGCCGGCTGAAACGTACCCCAAGAGCCGGGAGACCCCAGGCTCTGCGAAGAGGCGGTGCGTGGACAGTGCGGCAGCGTGCAGGCCCACTCGGGGGTGGGCGTGCATCAGGAGCCGGGCTGCCTGGCGTCCCTCGGTGGCAATGGCTGACCCGCCCCAGGAACCCTCAGAACGGCCCGAGTGTCGCCGCTGACGCGCAGGAAGGGGAGGCAACCCGCTGGGGGCAGCACCCAGAGCTCTGGCTGCGGGTTCCAGCCCTGCAGGCTGCGGCGCAGGCTCTGGAGTCAGGCTTGAGCTGGGCACTCGGCCCTTCAGGTGGCACTGCGTGCTGTGCACGGACCTCAGGGCTGTGCGCGCACACCGGGCCGCCCCGCTCCGCGCCGGCCCCGCAGCCCCGCGCCCCGCGGCCCAGCGCCCCGCGCCCCGCCGATCCCGCAGCCCCCGCCGATCCCGCAGCCCCGCGCCCCGCCAACCCCGCAGCCCGGCGCCCCGTGCCCCGCCAACCCCGCAGCCCCGCGCCCCGCCGATCCCGCAGCCCCGCGCCCCGCCGATCCCGCAGCCCAGCGCCCAGCGCCCCGCCGACCCCGCGCCCCGGCGCCCCGTAGCCCAGCGCCCCGCCGATCCCGCAGCCCCGCGCCCCGCGCCCCGCAGCCCTGCGCCCCGCCGATCCCGCAGCCCCGCGCCCCGCGCCCCGCAGCCCTGCGCCCCGCCGATCCCGCAGCCCCGCGCCCCACGCCCCGCCGACCCCGCCCGCGCCCCGCGCCCCGCCGATCCCGCAGCCCGGCGCCCCGCGCCCCGGCGCCCCGCGCCCCGCAGCCCAGCGCCCCGCGCCCCGCAGCCCTGCGCCCCGCCGATCCCGCAGCCCCGCGCCCCGCAGCCCTGCGCCCCGCGCCCCGCCGATCCCGCAGCCCCGCGCCCCACGCCCCGCCGACCCCGCGCCCCGGCGCCCCGCGCCCCGCAGCCCAGCGCCCCGCGCCCCGCAGCCCTGCGCCCCGCCGATCCCGCAGCCCCGCGCCCCGCAGCCCTGCGCCCCGCGCCCCGCCGATCCCGCAGCCCCGCGCCCCGCCGATCCCGCAGCCCCGCGCCCCGCAGCCCTGCGCCCCGCCGATCCCGCAGCCCCGCGCCCCGCGCCCCGCAGCCCGGCGCCCCGCGCCCCGCCGCCCGCGCCCGCGCCCCGCGCCCGCGCCCCGCCGGCCCCGCAGCCCCGCGCCCCGCGGCCCAGCGCCCCGCGCCCCGCCGATCCCGCAGCCCCGCCGATCCCGCAGCCCCGCGCCCCGCCGATCCCGCAGCCCCGCCGATCCCGCAGCCCCGCGCCCCGCGCCCCGCCAACCCCGCAGCCCGGCGCCCCGTGCCCCGCCGACCCCGCAGCCCCGCGCCCCGCCAATCCCGCAGCCCCGCGCCCCGCCGATCCCGCAGCCCAGCGCCCAGCGCCCCGCCGACCCCGCGCCCCGGCGCCCCGTAGCCCAGCGCCCCGCGCCCCGCCGATCCCGCAGCCCCGCGCCCTGCGCCCTGCGCCCCGCGCCCCGCCGATCCCGCAGCCCTGCGCCCCGCGCCCCGCCGATCCCGCAGCCCGGCGCCCCGCGCCCCGCCGATCCCGCAGCCCCGCGCCCCGCCGATCCCGCAGCCCGGCGCCCCGCGCCCCGCGCCCTGCGCCCTGCGCCCCGCGCCCCGCCGGCCCCGCAGCCCCGCGCCCCGCAGCCCTGCGCCCCGCCGATCCCGCAGCCCCGCGCCCCGCAGCCCTGCGCCCCGCCGATCCCGCAGCCCCGCGCCCCGCGCCCCGCAGCCCGGCGCCCCGCGCCCCGCCGATCCCGCAGCCCCGCGCCCCGCGCCCCGCAGCCCGGCGCCCCGCGCCTCGCCGATCCCGCAGCCCCGCGCCCCGCAGCCCTGCGCCCCGCGCCCCGCCGATCCCGCAGCCCGGCGCCCCGCCGATCCCGCAGCCCCGCGCCCCGCCGATCCCGCAGCCCGGCGCCCCGCGCCCCGCGCCCTGCGCCCTGCGCCCCGTGCCCCGCCGATCCCGCAGCCCTGCGCCCCACGCCCCGCCGATCCCGCAGCCCGGCGCCCCGCGCCCCGCGCCCTGCGCCCTGCGCCCCGCGCCCCGCCGGCCCCGCAGCCCCGCGCCCCGCAGCCCTGCGCCCCGCCGATCCCGCAGCCCCGCGCCCCGCAGCCCTGCGCCCCGCCGATCCCGCAGCCCCGCGCCCCGCGCCCCGCAGCCCTGCGCCCCGCCGATCCCGCAGCCCCGCGCCCCGCCGATCCCGCAGCCCCGCCGATCCCGCAGCCCCGCGCCCCGCCGATCCCGCAGCCCGGCGCCCCGCGCCCCGCGCCCTGCGCCCTGCGCCCCGCGCCCCGCCGATCCCGCAGCCCTGCGCCCCGCCGATCCCGCAGCCCCGCGCCCCGCGCGTGGAGCCGGTGCGTCCGCGCCGCCAGGCTCGACACCAGGGGGCGCGCGAGGCCCGCCGCGTCCCCGCTGCGCAGGCGCGCGTTCTCGCCGCGCGACAGGCTTCCAGGCGTGAGCCCGCAGTGCGCCTGCGCCCCGGTGACGGGCGGGCGCCCCGGCAAGATGGCAGCGAGGAGCTTCGCTTCCCGCCTCAGAGGCTCCCGCGCGTTTCTGCGGGGCTTCGTGGCCGGGGCCGCCGTGGGCGCCGCGGGAGCCGGGCTCACGGCCCTGCAGTTGTTCCGGAGTCGGGGCGCCAAGGCCGCGCTGGCGGCGGGGGAGCCGGGCGGTAAGTGGGTGCCCGCCGTGCCGCCTGGCGGGGGTCCCGCCCTGGACGCGGGCGCCCACGGGCGTCAGCCGGGCGGTGGCCGCCGCTTCCTCGGCCGCCCGCCGGGGCTCCGGGGCCGGGGCCGGGCTGCTCGTTCCGCGGGCAGTGTCCGCGCGCCCGTGTCGGGGCCCCGGCCCTCGCTCCCTGCCTCGTCGCCGCACGGAGGTCGCCCCTGCGTGCCGCGTCCGTGGGCCGCAGGGGCGGGCGCCGGCCCCATCGGGTCGGTGGGTTCGCAGGGTCGGGCGCCGGCTCCATCGGGTCCGTGGGCCGCAGGGGCGGGCGCCGGCCCCATCGGGTCGGTGCGGCCGCAGGGTCGGGCGCTGGCCCCATCGGGTCCGTGGGCCGCAGGGTCGGGCGCCGGCTCCATCGGGTCGGTGCGGCCGCAGGGGCGGGCGCCGGCCCCATCGGGTCGGTGCGGCCGCAGGGTCGGGCGCTGGCCCCATCGGGTCGGTGGGCCGCAGGGGCGGGCGCTGGTCCCATCAGTCCGCGTTGGACAGGAGTGTGCGGCCGCGGCAGCCCTTGGCCGCCGGCTTCGTGCTGTTGCGGCATCTCCAGGCCTGTGACCCGCGCCCTCGCCCCTTAGTTTTGAACACTCTGTTCTCGGAGCCGCTGATGTCTTTCCGCCTCCTTTCTCCCTTGCGTGGGCAGCATCTGCGGAGCCGGCCGTCCTGGAGCAGTTCGGATTCCCCGCGGCTGGAACGGAGACGCGGCGGTACACCAATCACGCCTTGTCCTATGACCAGGCGAAGCGGGTGCCTCGATGGGTTCTTGAACATATATCCAAGAGCAAGATCGTGGGTAGGTGGCTGGCAAGATGACCTAAAGGCGGGATGCAGGGTGTTTCCGTGTTCAGAACACGGAGGATCACGGACCGTATTCACGGTTTCTGTGTCATAGCACGTGTAGGAAATATTTGTGTGCCTCACTTTTTAAAAAAATATTTATTTATTAATTATTTATTTATTTGGAAGGCAGAGTTAGGGGGAGACAGAGAAGAATCTTCGTCTGCTCTTTTACTCCCCAAATGGCCGTATCAGCCAGGGCTGAGCTGGGCAGAAGCCAGGCGCCAGGAGCTTCTTCCAGGTCTCCCACGTGGGTGCAGGGGCCCAAGGACTTGGGCCACCTTCTACTGCTTTTCCGGAGCATTAGCAGGGAGCTGGATCAGAAGTGGGACAGCCAGGACTCGAACTGGTGCCCACAGGGGATGCTGGCGTTGTGGGCAGTGGCTGCGCCACACCACCAGCCCCAGGCTCACTGTGAAAGGGACCCTGCCTGGCAGCTGGGAGGCCCAGACCCTGCCCAGTGGTCTCGGGCCGCGGGCGTCCATGTCTTCCGTTGAGTTGGGAGGCTGCAGCTGAGTGCTGTTCATTTTCTCACCCTAGCAGATGGTTTAAAATCTGTTCGGGTTTTTATTTCAGAGCCAGAGAAGCTAGGGAGCTCCCAGCGCCAGGCCTGGCTGAGGCTGGGGGTTGGGAACGCCGTGCAGGCTCTCCACCGGGTGCCGAGAACCGACCTCTTGAGATGCCGCCTTCCAGGAAGCTGGACCAGGGGGCCAGAGCTGGGAACTGACTCAGGCACTGTGATGCGCCATGCCTGCATCTCAGCTGTGTCTCGGCCTCCTTTTTAGTTTCATCTACTTGAAAGGCAGAGTCAGAGAGAGAGAGCGAGAGAGAGAGCTCTTCCATCCTCTGGTTCCCTCCCCAGTGACTGCAGCAGCCGAAGCTGGGCCAGCCCAGAGCTCCGTCCGGGTCTCTCGGGTGGGTGACCGGGACCCAGCCACTGGAGCTGTCACCTGCTGCCTGCCGGTGCATTCGCAGGAAGCCAGGTGGAGGCAGAGGCGCTGCGAGATGAGCTGGCGCTGCGGCACGGGCTGAGCACAGCCAGCCTCCGTCAGCGCGTCGGGCCAGGCCGGATGGCTGCCCTCGACTGCGTGTCTTCCGTGTGCTGACGAAGCCCTGGGGTGGGTCAGCGTCCAGAACGGACGGTCGTGCCTCAGGCACTTTCGGCGTGGGGAGTGGGGAGTGGTTTGACTGTCCAGTAGTGAAGAGTGTACAGTTGTGGTTGATACTACTTTGTGAAGGAAGTAGCTGCGGTTCGGGTAGAGTGACTAAGGAGCAGTGAAAAGTGATGACATTACAGGAACGCTGGGTTTTCTTTCTGGTAATGCTTTGTTTGGGGGCCGGCACTGCGGCATAGTGGGTAAGCCACCGTCTGCACATGGATGTCGGTTCATGTCCTGGCTGCTGCACTTCTGATCCAGCTCCCTGCTAGCATGCCTGGCAAAGCAGCAGAAGATGGCCAAGCCGAGTGCTTGGGCCCCTGCACCCATGTGGAAGACCCAGATGAAGCTCCTGGCTCCTGGCTTTGGCCTGGCCCAGCCCTGGCCATTGCAGCCATTTGGGGAGAGAACCAGTGGATGGAGGACCTCTCTCTGTGTCTCTGTGTCTCCCTCTGTCTGCAATTTCTGACATTCAAATAAATCTTATATACTTTCTAAAATTTTATTTATTTGAAAGGCAAATTGACAGAGAAAGAGGAGAGACAAAGGAAGATCTTCCATCTGCTGGTTCACTCTCCAGATGGCTTCAGCAGCTGGGGCTGAGCCAGCTGAAGCCAGGAGCCAGGGACTCCCTCGGGGTCTTCAGCATGGGCGGCAGGGGCCCAAGCGTTCGGGTCATGTGCTGCCTTCCCAGGAGCATTAGCAGGACTGGACTGGAACCAGCCCTCCGGTGTGGTACACTGGTGTCACAGGCGGTAGCTTAACCTCTTCTGGGCTGCAACACTGAAGAACGCTTGATTTTGACTGGTGAGGCTTTCCTGGGAAAGTGGAGTAGGGAGTAGGTTCCCAGGCAGAGGGGTTGAATGGGCCATGGAATATGGAGAAGAGAATTCTGGTAGAAAGAAGCGCAGCTTCGTTTTGCAGAGCCGCAGTGTGGAGACTTGTTCTTTAGGAGCCAGAGGAAGGCCTGGGTGTCAGGAAGGAAAGGTGAGGCTGGAGAGTGGGCCGGTGCACAGATCGGCCCACGCGGCCTCGTGTCTCTGTGATTAGATGACTAGGTCTTGGTGGTAAAGGGCAGAGTGGTTTCCAGGGAGAGTCCTCCAGTCCACACTCCCACCGTCACCGTTTGTCCTGTCTCCAGCCCTCACTGTCAGGAGAGTCCTCCAGTCCACACTCCCACCATCACCGTTTGTCCTGTCTCCAGCCCTCACCGTCGGGAGAGTCCTCCAGTCCACACTCCCACCGTCACTGTTTGTCCTGTCTCCAGCCCTCACTGCCGGGAGAGTCCTCCAGTCCACACTCCCACCATCACTGTTTGTCCTGTCTCCTAACTTTACTGTGGTGAGAGTCCTCCAGTCCACACTCCACCATCACCGTTTGTCCTGTCTCCAGCCCTCACCGTGGGGAGAGTCCTCCAGTCCACACTCCCACTGTCACCATTTGTCCTGTCTCCAGCCCTCACTGTGGGGAGAGTCCTCCAGTCCACACTCCCACCATCACCGTTTGTCCTGTCTCCTAACTTTACTGTGGTGAGAGTCCTCCAGTCCACACTCCACCGTCACCGTTTGTCCTGTCTCCAGCCCTCACCATGGGGAGAGTCCTCCAGTCCACACTCCCACCATCACCGTTTGTCCTGTCTCCAGCCCTCACCATGGGGAGAGTCCTCCAGTCCACACTCCACCGTCACCGTTTGTCCTGTCTCCAGCCCTCACCATGGGGAGAGTCCTCCAGTCCACACTCCCACCATCACTGTTTGTCCTGTCTCCAGCCCTCACCATGGGGAGAGTCCTCCAGTCCACACTCCCACCATCACTGTTTGTCCTGTCTCCAGCCCTCACCATGGGGAGAGTCCTCCAGTCCACACTCCCACCATCACTGTTTGTCCTGTCTCCAGCCCTCACCATGGGGAGAGTCCTCCAGTCCACACTCCACCGTCACCGTTTGTCCTGTCTCCAGCCCTCACCATGGGGAGAGTCCTCCAGTCCACACTCCACCATCACCGTTTGTCCTGTCTCCAGCCCTCACCATGGGGAGAGTCCTCCAGTCCACACTCCCACCGTCACTGTTTGTCCTGTCTCCAGCCCTCACCATGGGGAGAGTCCTCCAGTCCACACTCCCACCGTCACCGTTTGTCCTGTCTCCAGCCCTCACCATGGGGAGAGTCCTCCAGTCCACACTCCCACCGTCACCGTTTGTCCTGTCTCCAGCCCTCACCATGGGGAGAGTCCTCCAGTCCACACTCCCACCGTCACCGTTTGTCCTGTCTCCAGCCCTCACCATGGGGAGAGTCCTCCAGTCCACACTCCCACAGTCACCGTTTGTCCTGTCTCCAGCCCTCACCATGGGGAGAGTCCTCCAGTCCACACTCCCACCGTCACCGTTTGTCCTGTCTCCAGCCCTCACCATGGGGAGAGTCCTCCAGTCCACACTCCACCGTCACCGTTTGTCCTGTCTCCAGCCCTCACCATGGGGAGAGTCCTCCAGTCCACACTCCACCATCACCGTTTGTCCTGTCTCCCAGCCTTACCGTGGTGTGTGGTGCTGAACTTCCCAGTTTAAGAGCTGATGTTACTTGTTATTCGTTATCAGTGGCTTATGCTTTGTAAGTCATTCTGTATCCATTGTCGGTGAGGGTGTGCTTTCCTTGTTGATTGTAGGAGCTCTTTGATGTAGCAAGGAGATCAGCTTTAGTCATAACTACTTTATTCCTATTTTGTTGTTTGTGTTTAATTTGACGCGTGGTCTACATAGTAGTTCTCCTTTGGTTTAAAATGTGTGCTTCATCTGTGAGTATTAAGATACTAGTATTGAAGTGAGCGTGTGCCTTTCTAAAGTGAGCGAGAACCAGCAGAGTGGCAAGAGGATTGGAATGTATTTGCTGTTAGAGGGAAACTGGTTTATTTTTATTTATTTGAAAGACAGAGTTAGAGAGGTAGAAACAGAGAGAGACAGAGAGAGACAGAGAGGTCTTCCATCCACTGGTTCACTCCCCAGATGGCCACAACGGCTGGAGCTGCGCCGATCTGGAGCCAGGAGCTTCCTCCTGGCCCCTGTAGGGGCCCAAGGACCTGGGCCATCCTCTTTTGCTATCCTAGGCCATAGCAGAGAGCTGGATCAGAAGAGGAGCAGCCGGGACTCGAACTGGCACCCATATGGGAAGCCGGCGCTTCAGGCCAGGGCATTGACCTGCTGCGCCACAGCGCCGGCCCCTAGTGATGGTTTTATCATAGCCATTAAAGCTTGATTTTAAACTTACATCAAGAGAAATAATTTGACTTAGTCTTAAGCCTTATTGTTTATTTTAACACGAAAGCGTCCCAGATAGAGGACGGTTCAGCCTGTGCTAGTTTCATCCTGCTGTTGGAGCATCGTTCTCAGAAGCGTGTAAGCCTGGCAGCGGCTCCCGTATCGCGAGTCCCGTGAGCTGTGTAACCCTGAGGCGGCAAGCTAGAGCAGTTAGTGTCCTCCACAGGAAGCAGGACACTGGTTTTACTTGATTTTAGAGTAGAGTTTCTGTGGTTACTGATGACACACTGTCCCGCTGGGGACAACACCAACTGTTACTAAAGTACATAAAAAGTGTATTTTTAAAAATCGCTGTAGAAAAATAGAGTCCGACAGGATAGTGGAAAATTGCCCGGCCAGTGCTTGGGGGAAGCCAGAATCCAGAGCGGTAGGCCGCTCCGTGCAAAGCAGCACCGCGTTTGCCGTTGATTGCACAGCCTTACGGGGCGAGGAGGGTTGAAGGAGAGACCAGGGCTTCTCGTGGTCGTCTGTCCTGGGGAGCCCCTTCCTGCCTTAGCCTGTACCCAGAGGGCTGCTGTGTTCTGAGAGCGAGCCAGAACTGGCCTGCTGCTGCCTGCCTGCCCTGGGGGTGCACGGAAGCTGGCTTTGGGTGAGCTGAGGGGTGAAAGGGCAGGTCGAAGCTGGTTGCAGAGACGCCGTGAACGACTGTCACATAGGCAGACACGTAGCCCAGATCCTTGAGGTCTGTGTGGGGCTCGGCGGGCCCTGGTCCCGGGGCCTGGTTTACAGCGGGCCTCCACTGGGGGCCGTGTTCTCAGTCTCTGGAAGTCGAGGGCCGCAGTGTCAGGCGGAGGAGGAAGTGGTTCCGATGGTGGTGGCACCTGCAGGTTTACTGCGGAGTCTGGTGCTGCCAGGTGATTGTGACCAGCTGGGTGTTAGGAAACTCCTCTGACCCTGGGAGCTGAAGACTTAAGTCTCTCTTGGCTGGGTGAAATGACACTGGGACCAGTCCCTTGCGATCTCCATCTTCCACTTTCTGAACAGCAGTCTGAGTGTGTTCCGTCCTCCTAATTTTTGTAGTTTAGCCAGGTTTGACCTCGTGATAGTCAGAATGTGGTGGCAGACTCTGTCGATGTGTTCTGTGGCAGGCCATTCTGCAGGTGTCAGAGAATAAGTAAAAATTGGGCTTTCTTCCCCCATGTGGTACTCAGAGCTCTGGGTGGAGCTCCTGACAAATGTTTCCTTAGGGCCAGAGGTAGTACGCAGGTAACAGAGGCACCCCTCCTGTCAGCCTGTGTCTGTGTGTATATGTGCCCATGGTTCTCGTACACGTTAACTTGTCTAAACACAGCTGTACAGAATGCAGTACATGGGGGTCCTTGAAAAACCAGAGTTCATCGGCCGGGCTCTGACCGGGAGGCCCAGACCCAGAATGCCTGGGAGAGCTTTGCTGTGCAGAGCCTTCTCCAGACTGGGCCTTTCTGAGTTCAGGGGCCGCGGCCGAGCTGCTCCCCTCCCGGACCTCGCGCTGGCTGTGGGGAGGGTGCCCGCCGGCAGCCACCGCTTGGCGAGGCCTTGCCTGAGCAGCGTGAGGGCTGTGTGTCCACTACAACTCAGTCGCTTTTGTGTGCTTCTTCCAGGTGATGCGGACAGAAAGCACTGTAAATTCAAGCCCGACCCCGACATCCCGCCAGCCTTCAGTGCCTTCAACCAGGACTATGTTGGAAGTGGGTGGTCACGAGGACACATGGCTCCAGCAGGAAACAACAAGTTCTCCAGTGTAGGGATATTCTAGGGAGGGCGGGGGCGTGGGGCTGACGCTGTGTTCTACGGGGTTGGGACTAGAACTCAAACACTCGAGAATGTCCGTACTCCATTCCTTCTTTCTCTTCCTGACCTTCTTTCTGAAGGTGCGGAGACATTTTTAAATAGGCTGAAAGAGGAAAGCTAAGTGCTGTGCAAAGGGGAATTGGATTAGAAGCCCACGGGCGCGGAAGCTGAGCTGCTTACTCAGTGGTCGCACAGCGGAAAGACAGCCCCGTCCACGTGTGTGATCCGGTGGGCGTGCACACACATTCGCAGGAGCCTCCACAGGCTCATGGAGGCAGTGAGCGTGAGAAAGGCTGTGCCTGGATTTCAGTCTGTTCTGTGCCCAGATAAGCCTGGCTTCTGATTCCACCTCACGCCCTTGGAAGTGGCCTCTTGAGTATGCTGCAGACCGTCAGTGAAAGTTGCAGACATCAAATGCTTGACCCAAATAGATTGCACAGGAGCATGAATCTACAAATGGGGATGTTTGCATATATGATGAGGACGTCATACCAAGAAGTGCGTGCAGGCGTGTTTTATGTATGCGTGTGATAATATCTGAAGTGTAATTGACATTCAGATAGCCAGATCCCCTCAGGTACGTCCTTTACGACTTTGTGGGAGGCAGCATCCTGCTATGAATCCTGCTGGTTGTCTGATCTCTTTAGTGCCACTTAGGCTAGAGTGGTTACAGTGGATTGCTGTCATCACTGCATGGTCTCAGCCCCGGGCACTCATGGTCAGAACCTGGGGTGGTGTCTTGATGTCAGTCTGCCTCGACTGAGTCGGAAACCCGGGGAAGCAGACTGGGCGTCGGCATTGTAGAGCTCCTCAGTGCTCCAGAGGGAGCACCGTGGCTTGAGGAGGCTGCTGCGCTGGCCCTGGCCACAGGAGCACGACGAGGTGGAGCCTCGTGCGGCTGGTGTGAAGTGAGTGAACTGGAATACGGAACAGCCGGCATTGTTCTTCGCCGCTTGTGAGCTAAGAGCGTGTCATACCAGTTATGTAGAATTCCTGAAAGCGGACTTTTGGTTAGCAACCGTGTATCCCAGACTTAAAACCAGAGCTGAAAACTTAGTTCTCAGAGTGTCTGTTACAGTTTGGGATCCTGTGAGGGATGGGACGGCCAGCTGTGGACTGTACAGGCCTGACTGAGTAGCCAGGGAGCGCTGTCCTGGAGTGGCTGGTCTCATCAGCCGCGTGAGCGCCCAGAGCTCAGGAGAGCAGGGAGCAGGCCTGGGCCTGGTCTGTGGGGCTGTGGCACAGGAGTAGGCATGGCAGCGCAGCGTCGGTAACGGCTTTTCTTTCTTTCCACAGAAAGCCATGGCTGAAACCTTTTACCTCTCTAATATTGTGCCCCAGGATTTTGATAACAATTCTGGAATTTGGAACAGGTGAGGCTGAGTTCTGAAGGTGGCTGGAGGGATGGCTGTCGGCGGGTCTGCGCCCCGGGTCTGCCGCTGCGTTCAGAAGCGTGCCCGCCGAGGGCCGGTTCCCCCTGGTTTCCTTCCTGTGTTTGGGAGCGTAGGCGTCTGGGAAAAGAGACTGCGGGACAGCCTTCCTGCTAGTCTTGTTTGCTGCTGTTCAGAAGGCAAGTCTTGAAAGAAACCACTAAAAACAGTGCTCCCGTTAACACTGAGTCTGTCCAGACCAGTGCTCCCATTAACACTGAGTCTGCCCGGAACAGTGCTCCCGTTAACACTGAGTCTGTCCAGAACAGTGCTCCTGTTAACACTGGGTCTGTCCAGAACGGTGCTCCCGTCAACACTGACACTGAGTCTGTCCAAAACGGTGCTCCCGTCAACACTGAGTCTGTCCAAAACGGTGCTCCCGTCAACACTGAGTCTGTCCAGAACGGTGCTCCCGTTAACACTGAGTCTGTCCAGAACAATGCTCCTGTTAACACTGAGTCTGTCCAGAAGGGTGTTCCCGTTAACACTGAGTCTGTCCAAAACGGTGCTCCCGTTAACACTGAGTCTGTCCAGAACAGTGCTCCCGTTAACACCGAGTCTGTCCAGAACAGTGCTCCCGTTAACACTGAGTCTGTCCAGAACGGTGCTCCCATCAACACTGAGTCTGTCCAGAGAACTTTTTTTTCTTATATTCTAGTGTACCTGAAGCTTTAAAAAAAAGTTTGGAATCTGAGGAGTTCCTGAGCTTTGTTTTGGTGTCGTTTAACAAAACTGTTAACCAATCTCTGATAGAAAGTTAGCCAAGGCCGGTGCTGCAGCTCACTAGGCTAATCCTCCGCCTGTGGCGCCAGCACTCCAGTTCTAGTCCCGGTCGGGGCACCAGATTCTGTCCTGGTTGCCCCTCTTCCAGGCCAGCTCTCTGCCGTGGCCCAGGAGTGCAGTGGAGGATGGCCCACGTGCTTGGTCCCTGCATCCCATGAGAGACCAGGAGGAAGCACCTGGCTCCTGCCTTCAGATCAGTGCGGTGCGCTGGCTGCAGCGGCCACTTGGGGGGTGAATCAATGGAAGGAAGACCTTTCTCTCTCTGTCTCTCTCTCTCTCTCGCTAACTCTGTCAAAAAAAAAAAAAAAAAAAAAAAAAAAAAGGCCAAAAAATCAATCCTGCATTTTCTGAGGCTGTTGACCTCTGACAGATAGCTCATTGAGCATCTGAAACTCAGCACTGATGGGTGGCCTCAGGCCGCTGTGTCAGAGCCTGAAAATAATTAAGCAAACATCTCCACTGAGACGAGGCCTCAGCAGCTGTCAGTCCCAGCCATGCTGGGGTCAGCTGCATGCCCGGTCCTCCTCTCCCTCCGGATTGTTTTAAGCAGACCACAGATATTTTATCCGTAAATATTTTTAGAAGATAAGGATTCTGAGACTAGCACAGTGCTGTTATTGCCCCTAGAAACTAGACAGTGATTCCTTAGTACCGGTTTTACAGTGTTCAGATTTTCCTGCTTTCATTTTTTTGTTATTGATTGGTTTGAACCGGAGTTCAAGCAAGATCCAAATATAGATTTGGGTGATTGTCGCTCCCCCTCTTCACGGAGGAACGACACTAAACCCTGCCTAGGCTTCATATCCGAGTCACGGCACCATTATGTCACTCCCCGTCTTCATGGAGGAACGACATAGGACCCTGCACTGTTCTTTTGTCTGCTCGGCCCTCCCCGGGTTTGCTGCTGGTTCTTCCCGGGTTGGCTACCGTCCCTTCTACCTCCGTGGAAGGGCGGTTCCCCCTGCCACATTCCCCACTTCCGCGGGGGAGCGGCACACCGCCGGCCGGCTCTCTCGGGGGCTGCTCAGGTGTTCCTTCAGATGTTCCTGGTGCATGTTGTCTCTCTCCTCCTTTATAGTCCTCTTCCACCAATCCCAACTCTGCTACCCACACGCCGAGTACGCTGCTCTCCTCCAATCAGGAGCAGGATCAGCTCCTGCAGGTCATCACTCAAGTTGGCGAGAGGCAGCTGTGTAGAAGCTGTTTCTTCCTTCTCAGCGCCATATTGTGGGAGAGCAGATGCATAGAATAAGTCTTAATTCCAGTAACAGTCTAGTCCGAGTTGCTCCCCACAGGTGATATATCTCTTCAGTTCCTTTTAAAAACACTTATAAAAATATCATTTTACTTGAAAGGCGAAGAGACAGGGAGAGACAGTGGAAAATCTGTCTGCTGGTTCACCCCCCAGGTGTCTGCAACCAAAGCCAGGCCTCTGGAACTCAGTCTGGTCTCCCACATGGGTGGGCTTGAGCCACCGTCTGCAGCCTCCTGGAGTGTGTGCCAGCAAGGGTGCTGGGCCAGGAGTGGGAGCGTGGCTTGAACCCAGGAGCTCAGTCTGGGGTGCAGGTGTCTCAAGCAGTGTCTTAGCTGCTGTGCCAAATGCCCGCCCTTCCAGTTCCTTTTAACCTGTAGGTTTCTCTTTATTTAAACATTTATTTTTCTGTTTGAAAGGAAGAGTGGGGCTGGCTCTGTGGCATAGCGGGTAAAGCCACCGCCTGCAGTGCCAGCATCCTGTATGGGCTCCGATTCGAGTCCTGGCTGCTCCACTTCCAATCCAGCTTCTGCTGTGGCCTGGGAAAGCAGTAGAAGATGGCCCAGGTCCTTGGGCCCCTGTACCCGCGTGGGAGACCTGGAAGAGGCTCCTGGCTCCTGGCTCCTGGCTTCGGATTGGCGCAGCTCCGGCCATTGCAGACAATTGGGGAGTGAACCAGTGGATGGAAGACTTCTCTGTGTCTCTGCCTCTCCTTCTCTCTGTGTGTAATTCTGACTTATACATAAAGAAATAAATCATTAAAAAAAAAGGAAGAGTGTCAAGAGAGAGATTGCATCTGGTGGTTCACTCCCCAAGTGCCCACAACGTTTGAGGCTGGGCTAAGTTGACGTCATTGGCCAGCAGCTCCATCGGGTCTGATGTGAGTGGCCGGGACTCGAATACTCGAGCCATCACTTGCTGCCTCCGGTGCGTCAGCAGGAGGCTGGATTAGAGGTGGAGGCAGGACAGTTCCAGGCACTGATACAGGATGCAGCCGTCCCACGGGTGACTCCACCTGTGCCACAGTGCCCGCCAGAAGTTTCCCTGTGAAGTATCTGTTGACGACGTGGGGTGTTTGGCCCATAAAGCTCCCTCTCCAGTTACTGGACTTGGTGATTGCATGCCTGTGGAAGCATTTAGCTCCCTAAGGGGTAAATTGGGAGAAAACGTCCGAGTCATTGGGTTGGATGCTGCATTTTTTCATTTTACGTGTTAGATGAGCTGGAATGACGACGTGCAGACTCGCTTAGAGGTGTCTTCCAGCTTCAGTGTGAGAAAGTGCGTGTCAGAGCTACTGGCGTTTTTATTTGGTAAATTTGCAAAAGCAGTTTTTCAGTGACAAATCTCAGTGCTATAAAGATTGTTGTGAAAGTGCTATCTTGTATTCTGGAACTTAGAGTAAATTGGTACAACCTTATTAAAACGTTAGTTTTGCATATAATCAAGAATCATTAAAATATTCAGTAATTCTGGCCTTTGAAATTTATCCTAAGATACAGTGTTACATCATATATAAGAAATATTAAGGTCAGTCTGCTTGTTGGAATGATATATAATTCTGGAAAAGCATTCATTGAGAACTATATTATAAAAAATGAGTTACCAATATTTAACTTCTAAAATATGCAGAGTGTAAATAGAGGATAGTTGTGCTAATGAGTGAATATGCTTTTAAAATTTTTTTGCAATAAATTTGCTCAAATGTAATGTTCTTGGGGTCTTTCGTAGGAACTGTTAGGATTTTCTTCTTTTTACATGTATGTTTGTGGAAATAGTCTTTCTTGGTTTGTTTTTCAGAATAGAAATGTACTGTCGGGAACTTACAGAGAGGTTTGACGATGTTTGGATAGTGTCTGGACCTCTGACCTTACCTCAGACCGGAAGTGATGGCAAGAAAACAGTTAGCTACCAGGTATGGACGTGTCTTAGCCGCCTGGCTGCTTTGTCTGGGATCATGACTCATTCTGTCTGTCTGATGCCTTTTTCTGCAGTGTCTATCGAACACCTCGTGGGGTGTCAGAGTAGAGGATGTAGGGATGGGTACTGCAAGGAGCTCATGTTCTAGAGAGGGAGACAGACATGTTTACAGCGCGTTAGTGTGCCATGCTGCAGTAGAGGTGAGTCCCCAGGGACCGCCACCCTGTGCTGGTGTGCTACTAGTGCATAACAGCGGGAGGCGAGCTAGGACGGACAGGTGAGGATAACAGCAGGAGATGTGAGTAGGGAGGACAGGTAGGATAACAGCAGGAGGTGTGAGTAGGGAGGACAGGTAGGATAGCAGCAGGAGGTGTGAACTAGGGAGGACAGGTAGGGTAACAGCAGGAGGTGTGAGTAGGGAGGACAGGTAGGATAACAGCAGGAGGTGTGAACTAGGGAGGACAGGTAGGGTAACAGCAGGAGGTGTGAGTAGGGAGGACAGGTAGGATAACAGCAGGAGGTGTGAGTAGGGAGGACAGGTAGGGTAACAGCAGGAGGTGAGCTAGGGAGGACAGGTAGGATAACAGCAGGAGGTGTGAACTAGGGAGGACAGGTAGGATAACAGCAGGAGGTGAACTAGGGAGGACAGGTAGGATAACAGCAGGAGGTGTGAGTAGGGAGGACAGGTAGGGTAACAGCAGGAGGTGAACTAGGGAGGACAGGTAGGATAACAGCAGGAGGTGTGAACTAGGGAGGACAGGTAGGATAACAGCAGGAGGTGTGAACTAGGGAGGACAGGTGAGGATAACAGCAGGAGGTGAGCTAGGGAGGACAGGTAGGGTAACAGCAGGAGGTGTGAGTAGGGAGGACAGGTAGGATAACAGCAGGAGGTGTGAACTAGGGAGGACAGGTAGGATAACAGCAGGAGGTGTGAACTAGGGAGGACAGGTAGGATAACAGCAGGAGGTGAACTAGGGAGGACAGGTGAGGATAACAGCAGGAGGTGAGCTAGGGAGGACAGGTAGGGTAACAGCAGGAGGTGAGCTAGGGAGGACAGGTAGGATAACAGCAGGAGGTGTGAACTAGGGAGGACTGGTAGGATAACAGCAGGAGGTGAGCTAGGGAGGACAGGTGAGGCAGCTGTTAGGGGAGCAAGGGAGTTCAGAGATGCAGGGGTTAGCACAGGGCCTTGTGGTTGGCAGCGTGGCTCTGGGATTGATGTCTCATTCATGGAGACTGGAGCTCATGATACAAAGACATGAGTAGCTCAAGGGGGGTGGGATCTTTTGTTTTTTACTACACTTTTTATAAAAAGATTTATTTATTTGGAAGAGCAACAAAGAGAGGGAGAGATGGGTTTTTCCAGCTGCTGGTTCACTTCTTAAAATGGTGGCAGCAACTGGGGCAGGGCTGGGCTGAGGCCAGGAGCCAGGGACTCCGTCCTGTTGTCTCTGTTGGGCCTCTGCCGCTGCTGTCCCAGGCCACAGCAGGGAGCTGGATGGGGAGCGGAGCAGCCGGGATGAACCAGTGCTCTGATGTGCAGCCCAGCGTGGCCCCAGGGATGAAGATTTCTGTGGCAGCAGGTGAGGCAGGAGCCAGATAAGAGACAAATTTATTTTCTGTGATGACAAATTGGGTTTAAGCTTTAGGCATTGGGAAGTCATAGACTCTCTCTCTCTCTCTCTCAAGATTACTCTTTGAAATGCAGAGTTGAAGAGACAGGGAGAGACAGAGAGAGAGGTCTTCATCTGCTGGTTCACCCCCAAAGGGGTGCATTAGAAGGAAGCTGGTTCAGCTTGAGCTGGCTGCCGTGTGGAATGCCAGTGTCACGGTGGCGGCTTACCCGCTGCACCACAGTGCCAGCTTGCCTTGGCTCTGTCTTAGCATTTATTTAGTGTTTGAAAGAGTGACGCAGAGAAAGGGGAGGGAGAGAGAGGCAGATACACCATCTGCTCGTTACCGCCACATGTACACAGCACTGGGGCTGGGCGGGCAGGAGCCCAGAGCCAAGCGTTCCTGCTGGCTCCCCAGCACCTAAGCTGTCGTGTACTGCTCGCAGGTGCATGAGTAGGAGGCGGGATGGAAAGCAGAGGAGCTGGGAATTTAACTGGCACTCCGCGTGGGGTGCAGGCATCCCAACAGTGACGTAGCACCATCGACTTGTCTCGATAGAGCGGTTTACGGCAGTGCACAGAGATGTGGTTGAGAAGAAGTTTGTTTGAGGAGAGAGCAGAGGCCTGGAGTCCGTTTGCGGCTGACCCCGAGCGGCTGGGAGTGAGGAACAGAGGGATGTAGGAAACTGAGCAGCTTTGGGAGGAAGAGGGAGAGTCTAGGATGACAGCCAGCTCGCAGCGAGTTCAGTGATGGGAGGAAAAGCTCTTCTTCTGGGAGCTTGGATTTAAAGAAAATTTAAGAAAAAATTACTTTAAATTTCTTTGGGAGGCAGATAGACTTCCTGTCTGCTGCTTCGCTCCTCAGACACCCCCGACAGGCAGGGAGGGCTGCGTTGGGCTGACGCTGGTGGGGGTTCCAGCCAGGCCTCACGCATTGGTGGCAGGAGAGCAGGGAGGTGGCTTCCCGGCTGCCTCCCAGGAGCTGCGCCAGCAGGGGGCTGCATGAAGGCTGAGCGCAGCTCCTCTGCACACAGCGTCCGAACTTCCTTTTTTTTCGTTATTTTTATTTATTTATTTTTAAATTTATTTGACATATAGTGTTAGACAGTGAGAGAGAGGTCTTCTTTCTGTTGGGTCACCCCCCAAATGGCTGCTACAGCCGGCAGTGCGCCGATCTGAAGCCAGGAGCCAGGTGCTTCCTCCTGGTCTCCCATGCAGGTGCAGGGCCCAAGTACTTGGGCCATCCTCCACTGCCCTCCCGGGCCACGGCAGAGAGCTGGCCTGGAAGAGGAGCAACCAGGACAGAATCCGGTGCCCCGACCGGGACTAGAACCCGGTGTGCTGGCACCGGCCCCACATCAACTTTCGTAGTAACTGTGCGGCTGAACTCTACCCAGGATGCTTGGACCTCTAAAGAGATGAAGTTGTGTTTTGCATATGAGGTACTTTAGCTCCTTTGTGGACAGAAGGAGAGAGAGATTAACCATAGCAGAGTGTAATTACCGGAGTGAGAGCTTCTAACGGCTCATGTTGCTGGAACTCCTGGGCCAGCTGACCGCAGTCGACTGGTTTATCTGAAGGACAAGTGCTGTGTCAGAGTGTGGTGGAGGTCTCACCAGGCAGAGGGGGCCTGGGTGCTGACCGGGAGGTCTCCGTCCAGTAGGCAGTTAGAGGCAGTGAGGAGGAAGAGCAAGTAAGGGGGTGGGGTGAAGGTCTTGCTGGTAGTCGGGGGGATGTCCTTGGAGGGATCACTTAGCTCCCTCTGGGAGTAAACTTGGTGTTTAATTCTCTGGCTTAGGTTAGATGGTTACTTACGGGAGCCTGTGATGGGATTGAGTGACCTGTGGGACAGACGCAGGAAACAAACAGGAACGTCAGGGTCTGCCGGGCCCTCACTGGCTGCTGCTGGTCAGTGTGTCTGGGCTCGGGGTGCAGCGGTGCAGGGCCCTGTGCAGGCGCACCCGCCTTTGCCTCACACGAGATCACTGAGCGACATTGTTTCCAGAGTCTCACGCCTTTGGAGGATACGGGGTGAGGAGGCAAAGTAACTAGCAGTTTAAAGTTAATTCCTTTTATTTCTGTCCTCAGGTAAATTTCTTTGCAATAGTTAACCTGCTCATTTAATTTTGGTGTTTATAATATTCCCAATATTATAGAAAACAATGGCTTAATGCTGTCTGTGTTCTCTTGTTTTTCATTTATTAATTATTCTTGAGTTTGAGAAATCCTCCCTATTCTCATTACTGGAAAAGGGGTACTTGTACCTTTTTGCCTTATGAGCCTGAAGTGATCAATCTTGGTTTGATATTCTTTCTTTCCCTAAAATTGAAGGATTTGTACAACTAGCTGTATAGAAGAAAAATTTATACAAAGTTCTTGAAAAGGAAAACTTAACCAATAATTAAATCACTAAGCATTTAAAAAAATTTATTTTCTCATTTATTTGAAAGGCAGAGAGAGATCTTTCACCCACTGGTTCACTCCCCAAATGGTCTCAATGGTGCAGCCTGGGCCAGGCCGAAGCCAGGAGCCGGAGCTTCATCTGGTTTCCCACGTGAGTGGCAGGCTCCTAAGTACGCGGGCCATCTGCTGCTGCTTTCCCAGGCCATAGCAGAGAGCTGGATTGGAAGTGGAGCAGCTGCGACATAAACCAGCACCCATATGGGATGCCAGCACCGCTGGCAATGACTTTACCCACTACGCCACACTGCTGGCCCCCCAGGGACCCAACCACGTGAGCCATCACCTGCTGCCTCCCAGAGTGTGAAGTAGCAGGATTCTGGGGTCAGGAGTGGAGCCAGCACTTGACGCCAGGCACTGGGATGGCAGGGTCATCTCAAGCAGTGTCTCACCTGCTGTGCCGGATGCCCGCCACTCACTGTACCTTGTGTGTGTGGGAGTTTCTGTTAGGTATATGTTACCCACACGCTATGGTGAGATATGTATTATTTTACATTGGATGTGAGAGGCAAAGTGAGTAAGTGAGTGAAAAAGAGAGAGAGATCTTCCATCCACTGGTCCATCCCCTAAGAGCCCACACAGCCAGGACTGGGCCAGACTGAAGCCAGGAACTCCATCCAGGTCTCCTGTGTGGATGGCAGGGACCAAAGCATTTGGACCGTTACCTTTGCCTTGCCAGGTTCATTAGCAAGAAGTTGAATTGGAAGTGAAATTGTCAGGACTTGAACTGGCATCCTGATATTGGATGTGGTCATTCTGAGTGATGGCCTGGCCTGCTCCACCACAGTGCCCGCTCTGATGTAATTTTTAAATTGTAACTTACAAAAGTATTATGTCTCCCAATTGTTCCTGCGAAAAGGGCATAAAAGCATTGATATGCCCTTAGTAATAGGTATGTCTTGAGCTCGGATCTTTTTGTCTTTAATTTTCATTTTATTTGAAATATATAGATAGAGATCTTCCATCTGTCTGCTGGCTCACTCCCCAAATACATGGAACAAGCAGAGCTAGGCCAGGCCAAAGCCAGGAACCTGGAACGCGTTGCGGTCTCCCGTGAGTGTGCAGAGATGCCCGCCGCCTCCGCGCTGCACGTCAGCAGGGAGCTGGTTGGAAATGCAGGGGCCGGAGCTCTGTCCAGGTGCTCCACTGCGCGGTGTGGGCGTTCCAGACAGCATCTTTACTGTTGAACCAGCACCCCTACCGCACCCCTAGCAGCTCCTGATTTCTAAAAAAAACGCGTGTTGAAAGGCCCAGCGCTTAGAGAATTGGCGGATTCCAAGGCTGGTACAGGGAAAGTACAAACGAGAACATCTTGTGCCAGAAAGCGAGGGAGTGCTTAGACAGACACGTGGTGATGACCTTCAGACAGGGAGCTCCCGGTCCCCAGGACTATCTGAGTGCCAAAATGAAGTGGGTTATGAACCAGCTGACTTAAATATGAATCCACATTCTTAACAGATAAATACGTGAGGTGTATAGAAACTCCGTACCGTAGAATGTCTACTAACACCTTTGCAAGAGTGGAAGAGCTCTAAAAATGGTTTTGCAGCCATCACGGTCATAAGTGATTCCGGCAAGACTGTCAGTGGGTGCTGGAAAGAGTGAATGACAGAGGTCGGCGCCGTGGCGTAGCGGGTAAAGGTGCCGCCTGCAGTGCCCGCGTCCCATATGGGTGCCCG